AATGACCCTTAGCACACAGCCAAGACAACGCAGGAGTGGCTTCGGGACAAGTCTCATTGTCCTTGAGTGGCCCTGCCAGAGCTCAGACTTGAACCTGATCGAACATCTCTGAAGAGACCTGAAAATAGCTGTGCAGCGACGCTCCCCATCCAACCTGACAGAGCTTGAGAGGATCTGCAGAGAAGAATGGGAGAAACTCCCCAAATACAGGTGTGCCAAGCTTGTAGCGTCATACCCAAGAATACGCGAGACTATAATCGCTGCCAAAAGGTGCTTCAACAAAGTACTGAGTAAAGGGTCTGAATACTTATGTAAATGTGATTTCAGTTTTGTATTTTTAATACATTTGCCAAGGGTGGTTTTGACAGTGGGTCAAAATTACCTGAATGTATTTCTAGCATTTTATATCCACATGGATTTATCAGACAAAGATATGTATGCCTTGGGGGAAAATGTCAGTCGCTTGAGGGTCTAATGAACCGGCTATCATTCCTTAATAACAGGAAAACTCAAGTAACGGAGAGTTGCCCCCCCCATTCATTTAAAGCAGAGGTACTTTTTCAGCCTTGGACCCAAATGAGAAATTCTGTGTTTCCTGGGACCCAAGCTAATGAAAACGTGCCCCCTTTTGGGGCCCTAAGCGAGATTTAGTTGGGGGGGGGGCGATCCCACCTCGCGAGCAAAACATAATAGTAGCCCCCCTCTTGATTGCAGAGGGAAACATTTAAGTTTTATTTAATTTCCTGCAATTCTACACATTTTGCCATGGGTTATAGAGAATGCCATTTTTAAAGCAAGTCTTCTGCAACGCTACACATTTTGGCATGGGGCGCAGAGAAATCTTTGCGGTTTTTAAGCTAATTTCCTGCAATTCTACAAATGTTGCCATGACTTATGTCATGTTAATATGATATCTGAGTGAGAGTGGCATGTGCCCTGCGTGCCCGGTCAGTATTCAAACATGATTACTACAAGCTTAGATAGCTGGCAAGGCTAATTGAGTGACTATCAGTGACTGACATAAGAGAAAAACTGCTGATGCACAACCAAACTTCTAAATTGCACCTTGGGTATTCTACTATTCTAACTCTCAACAGGGAGTTAAAACCCAGACAGATTCCCAAAAAAATAATAATATTCAAATTTTACTCTGACATGTCGCGACCCACCATTAACATGTCCGTGACCCATACTTTAAGAGAAGCTGATTTAAGGAAATAGCATAGCATGTTAAAGTAGTGCTTCTTCCTTACATTTGAGAAATCAGAACACTTCCACCACTTTGGCCAGTGTGCTCTGAGCACTCAGAGAGAAAACACTGAATTTGCAAACCAGCATTCTGATATTACCCATCTAGTAATCACACCACTCACTTCACCCATCCACCAACACTGCAATGACTTAATAGCTGTTCACTGCTATGATAAAGAATGTATACACTGAACAAAAATATAAACACAACATGCGTTAGTTAGTTCATAAGGAAGTTAGTTCATATAAGGAAATCAGTCGATTGAAATAAATAAATTAGGCCCTAATCTATGGATTTCACGACTCATAGGGCGGCGCACAATTGGCCCAGCGTCGTCCGGGTTTGGCCGGTGTAGGCAGTCATTGTAAATAAGAATTTGTTCTTAACTGACTTGCCTAGTTAAATAAAGGTTAAATAAAATAAATAAAAAATATGCATCGGTTGGTCACAGATACCTTAAAAAAAAAAGTAGGGACGTGGATCAGAAAACTAGTCAGTATCTGGTGTGACCACCATTTGCCTCATGCAGCGCAACATCCCCTTCGCATAGAGTTGATCAGGCTGTTGATTGTGGCCTGTGGAATGTTGTCCCACTCCTCTTCAATGGCTGTGCGAAATTGCTGGATATTGGCGGGAACTGGAACACGCTGTCGTACACGTCGATCCAGAGCATCCCAAACATGCTCAATAGGTGACTATGCAGGCCATGGAAGAACTGGGACATTTTCAGCTTCCAGGAGCTGTGTACAGATCCTTGCGACATGGGGTTGTGCATTATCAAGCTGAAATATGAGGTGATGGCAGCGGATGAATGGCACAACAATGGGCCTCAGGATCTTGTCACTGTATTTCTGTGCATTCGAATTGTCATCGATAAAATGCAATTGTCCGTAGCTTATGCCTGCCCATACCATAACCCCACCATGAGGCACTCTGTTCACAACGTTGACATCAGCAAACCGCTCACCCACACAACACCATACATCTGCCCGGTACAGTTGAAACTGGGATTCATCCGTGAAGAGCACACTACTCCAGCATGACAGTGGCCATCGAAGGTGAGCATTTGGTTACGACCCTGGTGAGGATGACAAGCACGCAGATGAGCTTCCTTGAGACGGTTTCTGACAGTTTGTGCAGAAATTCTTTGGTTGTGCAAACCCACAGTTGCATCAGCTGTCCGGGTGGCTGGTTTCAGATGATCCCGCAGGTGAAGAAGCCGGATGTAGAGGTCCTGGGCTGGCGTGGTTACACATGGTCTGCGGTTGTGAGGCCAGTTGGATGTACTACCAAATTCTCTAAAACGACGTTGGAGGTGGCTTACGGTAGAGAAATGAACATTCAATTATCTGGCAACATCCTGGACTCCGCATGCCAATTGCACTCCCTCAAAACTTGAGACATCTATGGCATTGTGTTGTGTGACAAGACTGCACATTTTAGAGTCACCTTTTAGTGTCCCCAGCACAAGGTGCACCTGTGTAATGATCACGCTGTTTAATTATCTTCTTGATATGCCACACCGGTCAGGTGGATGGATTATCTTGGCAAAGGAGAAATGCTCACTAAGAGGGATGTAAACAAATTTGAGCACAACATTTGAGAGAAATAAGCTTTTTGTGCGAATGGAACATTTCTGGGATCTTTACTTCAGCTCATGAAACATGGGACCAACACTTGTTGCGTTTATATTGTTGTTCAGAGTAGCTGTATTTTGCAAACACACAAATATGTCACCTTGTTGAGTAAGGAGCAGCCATCACAAAATAAAATAGATTTCTGCACACTGTTAAATGCTACCGCAGTTTATTGAGTGCAAGGTCTGACAAAGTCAAGACCTTTGGGTCAAAACGTTTGCACTCAAACTGCCTTTAACTAGCCTAGAGTTTTTCCTGGCGAGGTCACGTGGTCAGGAAAAACTCAGGAAGGAAAAACTCAGGAACATACTATATTGCTTCTGTAAAAGAAATAGACTCCCATATTCACCATAGGTTTATTCTCATCTGTAGCAGGCGGTCCAGCAGATGTTTCAACACCACTACTGTTCTTCAGATTCTCATCTAGAATGACAGCAGCATCATCATCATCATCATCTTCATCATCCCCTTCTTCAGCATTCTCTTCTTCATCTTGGCTGTCACTCCCAGAGTCTTCCAGTCCTGAGAACACACTCTCCTCGCTATCTGAGAGGTCTGCATCTTCCTCCTCCCCAGCCTTCTTCTCAGTGACATCTTTGTCAAATATGGGAAGCTGAAATAGTAGAGACAGAAAAACAGAGACATACAGATTTGAATAGATGGGCAAACATGAATGAGTTAGCACTGAAACTGATACAAAATGAATATAGAATCTTCGAACGTTAGCAAGTTACCTGACCCAAGTGAGCCACTGGCAATAGTACAAGGATGCTTGCTAGCTGATCAAGGTGAGACAGACAATTAGCTAGTCACTGTTTATACAAAAACATCCTTACTTATTTTATTAGCAAATACATCAGGGGACTATGTGATTAAGACAAAAAAGTTAGTTAGAAAAAACGGCAGTGTTTGAGCCTGCACATCCACATTTTCCTGCATAGCCAACGTGCTAGCCTAGCTAGCAGGTTAGCAACAATTACATGTTTTAGCTAACGTTACCCTTTTACCGAATATACATTTCAGAAATACTTTCGTACCTGGTCATCGTCCTCTTCAACAACTCTTTTCTTCGCACTCTTTTCTTTCGCTTTACTCATGGTGCCGTTTTTCTGTGATTCAAGATTTACTGTAGGCATGCTTCTTGGACATCAACAGCCAACCATGTGGGATTCCGGTACGAGGTCAAAGTTGAAAGTCTTGCGATTTTCGAGAACGATTACAAACATATATGATATGACTTTCTTGTACATTTTTTTTATTTATTTTTTTCACCTTTATTTAACCAGGTAAGCCAGTTGAGAACAGGTTCTCATTTACAACTGCGACCTGGCCAAGATAAAGCAAAGTAGTGCAATAAAAACAACACAGAGTTACATATGGGGTAAAAAAAAACATAAAGTCAGAAATACAACAGAAAATATATATACAGTGTGTGCAAATGTAGCAAGTTATGGAGGTAAGGCAATAAATAGGCTATAGTGCAGAATAATTACAATAGTATTAACACTGGAATGCTAGATGTGCAAGAGATTATGTGCAAATAGAGATACTGGGGTGCAGATGAGCAAAATAAATAACAATATAGGGATGAGGTAGTTGGGTGGGCTAATTTCAGATACCAACATAAAGCCTAAATGTGTTACAAATTGTTAATTGAGTTCAAAGTGAGTCTTGGTGTATTTTATATTTTATCATCGCATCTTGTGCTATATTATTATATAAATACTATAAGTTAACTATGTACTATTTTGACATTCAATTCATGACGTTTTAGTTTTATGGATATTTTTTTCTTCCCCATGATGATGTCACAAAATGGCGACCACCATGCGCCTGTGCAATGGCCTTTCTCTACGCACTTTGTAGCTATATCGATTTGCTGGAAATTTTCACTCGTAATAGTTTGTCAATTATAAGTCATATATTAATTAGTTTTTGAAAAATATTCGTTTAGGCGAATACTGCCATACATAATTACAGAGTTGTTCGAGCAAAGACCGAACAGTCAAGAGCATTGTGCTTGTTTTGGATTTGTTTTTCTCTGGAGTTCCCTCCCCCCGTGTGCTGTTTTGGGAGTTGATTAACTTTTGCAGTGATTCTATTTCGTTGATATGGAGTTTCACGGTGGTGGGTCTGGTGGGGTCGTGGTCAGTGGCAGTAACGTCCCTGCATTTCTTACGAAACTTTGGACTCTTGTTGGGGATCCGGAAACCGATCCTCTGATCTGCTGGAGCCCAGTGAGTTAACTAGCTTGCTAGCTGCTAATGCTAACTAACCTGCTAGCTAACTGATGGACACCTTCGTATAAGTTAACTTAGACTTGGTTCGCGTTATAGACAGTTGCTTATTGCCAATCAATATGGTTTCACATTTCATATTTGGTGTTAACTAGTTAGCGGGACATAATTTATAGCTAGCTAACGTTAGTTATGATAAAACACAACGGTGAACTAACTAGTTATCTAACTTCCTAACCAGATTTGTACGAGTAACTAACTCTGTGTCCAGATAACTAACTAGACAGTTTAGCTAATTTGGTAAAACGATTAATCAGCAAAAGTCAGCAAGGCCAAGGGCCGGGGGAGCTTCGTGCGGATGGTTTTGTCAGTCCACGCGTCAGCTGTTACTGGGTGTCAATTATCAATAGCTAAAAATGTTAGTTAGCTATGTTAGTAAGCCGCCTGGCTGCAACTAACTACTTCATTTGGTTAACTGTGTGTGTAGACATTATGTAGCTGTATGTGTGTAAAAAAAAACAAAAAAAAAACATGCAAACACCACATTGAAACTAGCTAACGTTAGCTACAGCATTGTTATGAGAAAAGGGGGTGTGTGAAAAGGGGTGTGTGGCTGTGTAAGCAACTATGAATGAATTCGTGTGTAACACCGCCATGCCAACACAGTCTATGTGGAACTTGACAGCCTTTTTCCATTGTTAGCCACAATAATTGTGCAATTCTCAGTAGCCAAGGAGCAGCTTTTACTCTCTAAGTTGTACAATGACTAACTTGTCATTGTCATATATAAAAAAATATACACTACCAGTCAACAGTTTGGACACCTACTCATTCAAGGGTTTTTCTTTATGTTTACAATTTTTTACATTGTAGAATAATAGTGAGGACATCAAAACTATGAAATAACACATGGAATCATGTAGTAACCAAAAAAGTGTTAAACAAATCAAAATATATTTTATATTTGAGATTCTTCGAATAGCCACCCTTTGCCTTGATGACAGCTTTGCACAGTCTTGGCGTTCTCTCAACCAGCTTCATGAGGAAGTCACCAGGAATGAATTTCAATTAACAGGTGTGCCTTCTTAAAAGTTAATTTGTGGAATTTATTTCCTTCTTAATGCCTTTGAGACAATCAGTTGTGTTGTGACAAGGTAGGGGCCCCGTGTAGCTCAGTTGGTAGAGCATGGTGCTTGCAACGGCCAGGGTTGTGGGTTCGATTCCCACGGGGGGCCAGTATGGGAAAAAAAATGTATGCACTCACTAACTAAGTCCCTCTGGATAAGAGCGTCTGCTAAATTGTACATTTACCATTTAAGTCATTCAACTTAGGATAGCCAGTGGGACAACCACTCCTTTTTTTTGTAATGGGGGGGGGGGGGGGGGGGGTTAGAAGGATTACTGTTATACTATTCCAGGTATTCCTTAAAGAGGTAGGGTTTCAAGTGTCTCCGGAAGGTGGTCAGTGACTGCGCTGTCCTGGCGTCGTGGGGGAGCTTGTTCCACCATTGGGGTGGCAGAGCAGCGAATAGCTTTGACTGGGCTGAGCGGGAACTGTGCTTCCGTAGAGGTAGGGGAGCTAGCAGGCCAGAGGTGGATGAACGCAATGCCCTCGTTTGGGTGTAGGGTCTGATCACAGCCTGAAGGTAAGGAGGTACAGTTCCCCTCACAGCTCCGTAGGCAAGCACCATGGTTTTGTAGTAGATGCGAGCTTCAACTGGAAGCCAGTGGAGTGTGCGGAGGAGCGGGGTGACATGAGCGAACTTGAAGGTCGAACACCAGACGGGCTGCAGCGTTCTGGATAAGTTGTAGGAGTTTAATGGCACAGGCAGGGAGCCCAGCCAACAGCGAGTTGCAGTAATCCAGACGGGAGATGACAAGTGCCTGGATTAGGACCTGTGCCTAAATGACTAAAATGTAAAATGTAGGGGAGGTACACAGAAGATGTACCTGTTTGGTAATAGACTGCTGCAGAAGATAAGTTCATTAGAGTTACCAGCCTCAGAAATTGCAGCCTAACTAAATGCTTCACAGAGTTCAAGTAACAGACACATCTCAATATCAACTGTTTAGAAGGGGACTGTGTGAATCAGGCCTTCATGGTTGAATTGCTGCAAAGAAACCACTACTAAAGGACACCAATAATAAGAAGAGACCTGCTTGGGCTAAGAAACAAGAGTAATGGACATTAGACTGGTGGAAATGTGTCCTTTGGTCTGGAGTACAAATTTGAGATTTTTGGTTCCAACCACTGTGTCTTAGTGAGACGCGGTGTGGGTGAACGGATGATCTCCGCATGTGTATTTCCCACCGTAAAGCATGGAGGAGGTGGTGTGATTTTGTGGGGGTGCTTTGCTGGTGACACTGTCTGTGATTTATTTAGAATTCAAGGTACACTTAACCAGCATGGCTACCACAGCATTCTGCAGCGATACGCCATCCCATCTGGTTTGGGCTTTTATTTTATATTTTTTTATTTCACCTTTATTTAACCAGGTAAACCAGTTGAGAACAAGTTCTCATTTACAACTGCGGGCTTAGTGGGACTATCATTTGTTTTTCAACAGGACAATGGCCCAAAACACCTCCAGGCGGTGTAAGGGCTATTTTACCAAGAAGGAGAGTGATAGTAGAGAGTGCTGCATCAGATGACCTGGCCTCCACAATCCCCCGACCTCAACCCAATTGAGATGGTTTGGGATGAGTCAGACGGCAGAGTGAAGGAAAAGCAGCCAACAAGTGCTCAGCATATGTGGGAACTCCTTCAAAACTGTTGGAAAAGCATTCCAGGTGAAGCTGGTTGAGAGAATGCCAAGAGTGTGCAAAGTTGTCATCAAGGCAAAGGGTGGCTATATGAAGAATCTCAAATATATTTTGATTTGTTTAACACTTTTTTGGTTACTACATGATTCCGTATGTGTTATTTCATAGTTTTGATGTCTTCACTATTATTCTACAATGTAGAATATAGTAAAAATAAAGAAAAACCCTTGAATGAGTAGGTGTGTCCAAACCTTTGACTGGTACTGTATATTATAAATTATGTTTTAATTTCACATACACAAATCAAATTGTATTTATCACATGCTTCATAAACCACAGGTGTAGACTAACAGTGAAATATTTACTAACGGCCCTTCCCAACAAAGCAGAGAGAGAACAGAGAAATAATAACAGAAGGAATAAATACACACTGAGTAACGATAACCTGATACCAGTACCGAGTCCATGGGTACGAGGTCATTGAGGTAGCAGTTTACATAGGTAGGGATAAAGTGACTTGGCAACAGCATAGACAGTAAACCAGCGTATGTGATGAGTCAAAAGAGGGTGTGTCATACACCGGTGCAGTGAAAAGTGTTGTTTACAGGGTCAGCCATAGTATTACGGCGCCCCTGGAGCAAATTAGAATGAAGTGCCTTGCTCAAGGGCACATCTACAGATGTTCACCTTGTCGGCTCTGGTACTCGAATCAACAACCTTTCGGTTACTGGCCCAATGCTCTAACCGCTAGGCTACCTGCCAATATTATCTTATATTATTCTTATTTTATTAAACAACTAATTATGTTGCTGTTTGTTAAGGAATTATCTGGACTCTGCATTTTGTACTTAAATTAACCCTGAGGGTGAAAGCATAGATTGTCCTAATTATGTTATCTCTTAACTACTGGGTAGGAGAAAATCCTGCATGTGTTGACGCTCTGTCTATCCAAGGGTCTCCTCTGGTCCAAGCAGCTGACTTCTGTCTCTGCGTCCATTTCCCCGAAAGTGAATTAATGGCAAAATAACAGACTAACATTCAGGCAAAACACTTCTATTGGGCTTTGGCACTGGACCATTTCCACTCTTTCAGCCTTCATTGCACATGGATTGCATCACAATGGGGAAGTTGTAGGAGGTTTTGTGTGTGAACTGCCCCAGAATATTGAGATGATGTACAAGCAAATGTACTAATTAGGACATTTCTGTTGCTGAATTTATTTGATAAAGTTATTAGGATGCACTGCCATTAGAGGTCTGAGTCCTTGTTGTCTCTTTAGCCTACCCACTCAATGTGTTCTTGCGTTATGATCCAACCTATTGCCATAGACGTCACACCCTTCTCTACCCTCCATAGTCAGAGTGTAGGTAGAGCCTTTATGAGACCCAAAGTTGTGAATTAGTTTAGCTTTGTCGTAAACCAGCCAATGCACCTTAACCTGATACTTACTTTAGTACATTTTTATTTCACCTATATTTTGCCAGGGAGTAATGTTGAGACCAAGGTCTCTTTTACAAATGAGCCCTGGCTATAATTATAGGCCTAGCCAAGGTAAACTGGGATTGTGCACTATTTATTTAAAGGGATACAGTAGATATTCATTGCCAAAATCCTGAAGTATTCCTTTAACTTTTACTGTTCTTTTTCTTCCTTTACAGAATGGCAACAGCTTCCATGTGTTCGATCAGGGCCAATTCTCCAAGGAGGTGCTTCCCAAGTATTTCAAACACAATAACATGACCAGCTTTGTACGTCAGCTCAATATGTGTGAGTTGTCATTCATGTATTTAACATGTTAGGCGTGTCAATGCCATGGAATAAAAACGCACAGTTAATCATGTGTGCAACGTTATGTGCAATATGGTTTAGATGAGACGCTCCGGTATAGTTTGAATTGCTATCCTTGTTTTCTTTGTCTATATACAGTTGAAGTCGGAAGTTTACATACGCTTAGGTTGGAGTCATTAAACTCGTTTTTCAACCACTCCACACATTTCTTGTTAACATACTATAGTTTTGGCAAGTCGGTTAGGACATCTACTTTGTGCATGACACAAGTAATTTTTCCAACAATTGTTTACAGACAGATTATTTCACTTATAATTCACTGTATCACAATTCCAGTGGGTCAGAAGTTTACATACACTAAGTTGACTGTGCCTTTAAACAGCTTGGAAAATTCCAGAAAATGATGTCATGGCTTTAGAAGCTTCTGATAGGCTAATTGACATAATTTGAGTCAATTGGAAGTGTACCTGTGGATGTATATCAAGGCCTACCTTCAAACTCAGTGCCTCTTTACTTGACATCATGGGAAAATCAAAAGAAATCAGCCAAGACCTCAGAAGCAAAATTGTAGACCTCCACAAGTCTGGTTCATCCTTGGAAGCAATTTCCAAACGCCTGTTCATCTGTACAAACAATAGTACGCAAGTATAAACACCATGGCACCACGCAGCCGTCATACCGCTCAGGAAGGAGACGCATTCTGTCTCCTAGAGATGAACGTACTTTGGTGCGAAAAGTGCAAATCAATCCCAGAACAACAGCAAAGGACCTTGTGAAGATGCTGGAGGAAACAGGTACAAAAGTATCTATATCCACAGTAAAACGAGTCCTATATCAACATAACCTGAAAGGCTGCTCAGCATGGAAAAAGCCACTGCTCCAAAACCGCCATAAAAAAGCCAGACTACGGTTTCCAACTGCACATGGGGACAAAGATCTTACTTTTTGGAGAAATGTCCTCTGGTCTGATGAAACAAAATTAGAACTGTTTGGCCATAATGACCATTGTTATGTTTGGAGGAAAAAGGGGGAGCTTGCAAGCCGAAGAACACCATCCCAACCGTGAAGCACGGGGGTGGCAGCATCATGCTGTGGGGGTGCTTTGCTGCAGGAGGGACTGGTGCACTTCACAAAATAGATGGCATCATGAGGAAGGAAAATGATGAGGATATATTGAAGCAACATCTCAAGACATCAGTCAGGAAGTTAAAGCTTGGTCGCAAATGGGTCTTCCAAATGGACAATGACCCCAAGCATACTTCCAAAGTTGTGGCAAAATGGCTTAAGGGCAACAAAGTCAAGGTATTGGGAGTGGCAATCACAAAGCCCTGACCGCAATCCTATAGAACATTTGTGGATAGAACTGAAAAAGCGTGTGCGAGCAAGGAGGCCTACAATCCTGACTCAGTTACACCAGCTCTGTCAGGAGGAATGGGCCAAAATTCACCCAACTTATTGTGGGAAGCTTGTGGAAGGCTACCCGAAACATTTGACCCAAGTTAAACAATTTAAAGGCAATGCTATCAAATACTAATTGAGTATATGTAAACTTCTGACCCACTGGGAATGTGATAAAATAAATAAAAGTTGAAATAAATAATTCTCTCTACTATTATTCTGACATTTCACATTCTTAAAATAAAGTGGTGATCCTAACTGGCCTAGGACAGGGAATTTTTGCTACGATTAAATGTCAGGAATTGTGGAAGACTGAGTTTAAATGTATTTGGCTAAGGTGTATGTAAACTTCCGACTTCAACTTTACTATGATATTTACTGTATGACACATGAAGTAGGAATATGGCTTTGGCCACATCACATACAAGGCTAAAGTAAGGATAGTTTAAACAGAAAAGTAGCAAATCTGATGTTGAGGAGAGAGATCATACTACACATTTTACCTGCCTAAATGACTACCGACCCGTAGCACTCACGTCTGTAGCCATGAAGTGCTTTGAAAGGCTGGTCATGGCTCACATCAACACCATTATCCCAGAAACCCTACACCCACTCCAATTTGCATACCGCCCCAACAGATCCACAGATGATGCAATCTCTATTGATAATAATAATAATAATAAATAATAATATGCCATTTAGCAGACGCTTTTATCCAAAGCGACTTACAGTCATGCATGCATACATTTTTGTGTATGGGTGGTCCCGGGGATTGAACCCACTACCTTGGCGTTACAAGCGCCGTGCTCTACCAGCTGAGCTACAGAGGACCACATTGCGCTCCACAATGCCCTTTCACACCTGGAAAAAAGGAACACCTATGTGAGAATGCTATTCATTGACTACAGCTCAGTGTTCAACACCATAGTGCCCTCAAAGCTCATCACTAAGCTAAGGACCCTGGGACTAAACACCTCCCTCTGCAACTGGATCCTGGACTTCCTGACGGGCCGCCCCCAGGTGGTAAGTGTAGGTAACAACACATCCGCCACGCTGATCCTCAACATGGGGGCCCTTCAGGGGTGCGTGCTCAGTACCCTCCTGTATTCCCTGTTCACTCGACTGCATGGCCAGGCACGACTCGAACACAATCATTAAGTTTGCTGATGACACAATAGTGGTAGGCCTGATCACCGACAACGACGAGACAGCCTATAGGGAGGAGGTCGGAGACCTGGCCGTGTGGTGCCATGACAACAACCTCTCCCTCAATGTGATCAAGACAAAGGAGATGATTGTGGACTACAGGAAAAAGAAGAGGACCGAGCACGCCCCCATTCTCATCGACAGGGTTGTAGTGGAGCAGGTTGAGAGCTTCAAGTTCCTTGGTGTCCACATCACCAACAAACTAACATGGTCCAAGCACACCAAGACAGTTGTGAAGAGGGCACGACAAAACCTATTCCCCCTAAGGAGACTGAAAAGATTTGGCATGGGTCCTCAGATCCTCAAAAAGTTAAACAGCTGCACCATCGAGAGCATCCTGACTGGTTGCATCACTGCCTGGTATGGCAACTGCTCGGCCTCCGACCGCAAGGCACTACAGAGGGTAGTGCGTATGGCCCAGTACATCACTGGGGCCAAGCTTCCTGCCATCCAGGACCTCTATACCAGGCAGTGTCAGAGGAAGGCCCTAAAAATTGTCAAAGACTCCAGCCACCCTATTCAAGCGGTACCGGAGCGCCAAGTCTAGGTTCAAGAGGCTTCTAAACAGCTTCTACCCCCAAGCCATAAGACTCCTGAACATCTAATCACATGGTTACGCAGACTATTCCCCCCCCTTACGCTGCTGCTACTCTCTGTTTATTATCTATGCATAGTCACTTTAATAACTCTACCTACATGTACATATTACCTCAATTACCTCGACTAACCGGTGCCCCCGCACATTGAGTCGGTACCGGTACCCCCTGTATATAGCCTCGCTATTGTACTTTTTACTGCTGCTCTTTAATTAGTTACTTTTAATTTGTATTATTTTATATTGTGTATATATATATATTTTTTGTATTCTTTCTTAAAACTGCATTGTTGGTTAACAAATATAATTAGATTAGATTTCTACACAGTTTTGATTTAGTTTTAGTAATTTTAAAGTATATTGAGTTTGTTTTTACTCAAACCTCCCACGGGCCGGATTAGACCCCCTCTCAGGTGTGATCCAGCCCGCGGGGCTGTATGTTTGACACCACTGCTTTAATTAGACTCAATGGAGGACCTTTTTTTTTATTGAGGCTATTTCAGGTAGATGTGAACATGTATTTCTCATACTGTGAAAGCCTTGTGCTTTTTTGTTGGTGTCTTTAAGCAATAAGGCCAGAGGGGGTGTGGTTTATGGCTAATATACCACGGCTAAGGGCTGTTCTTACACACGACGCAACGCAATATACCACAAACCCCGAGGTTACCAAATTTTTTTTCATACCCGTGGTATACGGTCTGATATACCACAGCTTTCAGCCAATCAGCATTCAGGGCTTGAGCCACCCAGTTTATAATTGGTTATATAATCCACTTACATGTTATTTATTTAGACTGAAAAGACTTGGAGGAGGAAGATATAATTGCATACAGTGACCTAGAAACCAGGCAAATTTCAGAAACAATAAAATACAGGCTATGTAATTGCCACGTATCTAGAAATGGAATGGTAGTGCCATATAGCCAAAACTGGTTGTTTTTTCTATCTGCAGACGGCTTCCGCAAAGTAGTCCACATTGAGCAGGGCGGCCTGGTGAAGCCTGAGAAGGACGACATGGAATTCCAGCATCCGTACTTTATCCGCGGACAGGAGCATCTGCTTGAAAATATAAAACGGAAAGTTACCAATGTAAGTGCAAAACGATGAGATGTGATCATCATGATATGTGTCTTGATTCACCTATCAAACCTTTCTTCGTACTGGGCTTTACATAGCTCTGACAGTATTAGTTAAAGTATTACAAATATATTACGTTTATAGTCAGAACTATGTAGCTAACTCTCTGTACAAAGCACGCATGGAAAACCTCAGTAAAACTCCCCATAGAGAAGACACACATTGGGATCCTCCTCAGACAGACAGCATCTTAGACAGACAGCATCTTAGACAGACAGCATCTTAGACAGACATCATTGTAGACAGACAGCATCTTAGACAGACAGCATGTCACAGACAGCATGTGCTCCCAGTGCTTGGCCTGCTCTTCTGCTCTCCTCCCGGAACAGATTGAGCTGATCTAGGGGCCTCTGCGGAGCCTGACAGCTGGGGAGGGGTGGATTAGAGAAGGCAGGCCAGGGAGCTCGTAATCTGATGTCGCCTGACACAGCCACTTTCTACTCTGCTCAGTCTGTTGATTTACAGCCGTTTCCATCTGCACCTTAATATATTATCTGCCTCGGGCCAACTGACCAGTTCAGGCAAAAAACTGATCACCGAATCATACACTCTTTTCATTGTGTTTCCAGTGTCTATCCCTCAGGTTTGAAGTCGGGGCCAAGGCCTACACCGAAGGCTTGTTTTTATCTCTTTCCCGCCTCACTTTAATAGTTTTCTTTGCTTTAACCATTTCATCATGTTCTCCCTCCCTGTCAGGTGTCCAATGTTAAACATGAAGACCTCAAGATGAGCTCAGACGACGTCTCGAAAATCCTGACCGACGTGCAGCACATAAAGAGCAAGCAGGAGACTATAGACTCCAAAATCATCACCATGAAGCAGTAAGTGAAACGTTAAGAGAGGCATATTCTGATTCTGATTCAATCTCATGCATATTGGATGGTTGACTCGGCTTAACTAATAGATTGAAGGGAACAAAATCAACAGAATGTCTGACAAACCATTGTGCGAAGTACAAACCCCCAAGTACCACAACTCCACATGGATGCAAGATTTAAAAACATTTTCAGAATTGACTGCCCCATTGAACGAGCCAAAAACGTTCTTCCCCAGCTTAGCATCTCAGTTCCACACAATAAGATATTCTCTCTCTCTCTCTCCTGCCTCTTGCTGCTGTGCTGCTAAATTAGCAAGTACGCATACTGAGTCCCCCTGTAGTGTTCCTGTAGCTTAACATACTGCATTAAGGCGGTGGAAGCCAGTTTATTTAAAGCTGATTATTAGGCTGCTTGAGGCAGAATTCCGAAAGGCCTGTCATAGGCTGAAATACTGTATATACACTACATGACAAAAAGTATGTGGACACCTGCTCGTCTAACATCTCATTCCAAAATCATGGGCATTAATGTAGAGTTGGTCCCGCCTTTGCTGCTATAACAGCCTCCACTCTTCTGGGAAGGCTTTCCACTAGATGTTGGAACATTGCTGCAGGGACTTGCCATTTAGCCACGAGCATTAGTGAGGTCGGGCACTGATGTTGGCCGATTAGGCCTGGCTCGCAGTCGGCGTTCCAATTCATCCCAAAGATGTTCGACGGGGTTGAGGTCAGGGCTCTGTGCAGGCCAGTCAAGTTTTTCCACACCAATCTTGACAAACCATTTCTGTATGAACCTCGCTTTGAGCATGAGACATTGTGATGCTGAAACAGGAAAGGGCCTTCCCCAAACTGTTGCCACAAAGTTGGAAGCACAGAATCATCTAGAATGTCATTGTATGCTGTAGCATTAAGATTTCCCTTCACTGGAACTAAGGGGCCTAGCCCGAACTATTAAAAACAGCCCCAGACCATTATTCCTCCTCCCACTAAACTTTACAGTTGGCGCTATGTATTCGGGCAGGTAGCGTTCTCCTGGCATCCACCAAACCCAGATTAGTCCGTCGGACTGCCAGAGGGTGAAGCGTGATTCATCACTCCAGAGAACGCGTTTCCACAGCTCCAGAGTCCAATGGCTGCGAGCTTTACACCACTCCAGCCGACACTTGGCATTGCGCTTGTGTGCGGCTGCTCCACCATGGAAACCCATTTCATGAAGCTCCCGATGAACAGTTATTGTGCTGACGTTGCTTACAGAGGCAGTTTGGAACTCTGTAGTTAGTGTTGCAACCGAGGACAGATGATTTTTACACGCTACGCGCTTCAGCACTCGGTGGTCCCGTTCTGTGCGCTTGTGTGGCCTACCACTTTGCGGCTGAGCCGTTGTTGCTCCTAGATGTTTCCACTTCACAATAACAGCACTTACAGTTGACCAGGGCAGAAATGTGAAGAACTGACTTGTTGGAAAGGTGGCATCCTATGACAGTGCCACGTTGAAAGTCACTGAGCTCTTCAGTAAGACCATTCTACTGCCAGTGTTTGTCTATGGAGATCGCATGGCTGTGTGCTCGATTTTCAGCTGAAATAGCCGAATCCACTCATTTTAAATGGGTGTCCACATACTTTTATGTGTATATATATAGTGTGTGGGAGATAGTCAGGTCCCAGCATATGTCCGTGTGCTGTTTGAATCCACAGAGCTGTCATAAATTATAGCTTTCACACTTTTTTTTCACCAGCTTTAAACTCTGATTTAAGGGAGTACATCTATTGATATATATCCTTATGGTGGTAGAACTGCAGCCGTGGAGAGTTGGACCTGGTCTGTTTCCATGTTTTGATCCAGTGTGTGGTTTGAATTTAGGACTAGGGCCAGGGTTAGTTTTGTGTGTGCTTTTTCTGGATGCCTTGATCAGACTTGATCAGATCCATGTTTGTTGCAGTAATGATGTGGAGACAATTCATTGATTTATGTCAGTAACTCAGCCTGGTTAGTTACTGGTTATAAAGTCTTCATCAGATGTGGTTTCAAAGTTGAGAGTTCCCATTTTGTAGCAGTTATGATGTGGGATAACCCATTGGGTTGTGTCAGTGTGCCCCACTCTGGGACCATATAATGGTGTTTCATCTTTCAGGACACTTGGTCACCATTCTAAAAGCGAGAGGCTCTTCTCATGCAGCTGGGAGGATGTGGCTGCGCTGTTCACCAGCTGCCTGTAGCCCATCGGGGTGCATGTCAGGACCCACATCATTAATACAATCCTTCCTACACACACACACGGGCTTGGATTCTCCAGCTGGACCTCACCCTTGGACTCTTCATTACCACTGAGGGCTTTCTCTCCTGTCCCAAACATATGTTCACAAACCAGACTTTTTCTGCATGGTTCCATGATGCAATACGCACGGCAGATTTCATTATGACCTCATTCATCGTGTCCCATCGGCACGGCATGACAGTCTCTCTCCATGTTTCTCACAATGTCCTCTTAGAATAGGAGATGGGATTATTTATCTTGTTTTATCCAATCATCTGTTTTAATCCAACTTGCCTATTTGATTCATATCTTTAGATTAAGATATGTCACTCAAGAATGATGGCTGTCCATCATCCGAGGTGGGTGGCTCGCACGCTTTCTTAGAAAAAAACGGATTGTTCTCTATTACCACATTCCTCCTCCCCTCTGACCCTAGAACAAATCTGACACTCCAAAAAGTAAATGGATGGTTCCAATGATCTGATCCCGTTCACATGTCAAATAATCCCTCAGTATTGGTCAGAGTGGTGTTTCGGGTTGGGGTCTATGGTGGTTGGGGGGGGGGGGGGGGGCAATGATGACCCCAATCCACTTGGAGGAATCCACACCTGACCCTGTAAATCCCTTTTCATCTGCCCCACAGGGAGGTCAGCACAGATGGTGGGCTTTTCCAGCGCAGCCTGGTTTTACAGGGCAAAGTGGGTTTACAAGGCAACAGAGACCACTGATACAGGACCTCTCTTTACTGGAAGTATGGGGGCCCTGTAGCACTCAGATGGCACCCCCAGTAGACAGGTCCTTCAACCCTCGTTCGGTCTCGGTTTTAATATCACATCTGTGTGCTGGAGGTTCTTAAGGTTAACACGCGTTACTCCTTAACAATGCCAGGATGTAAAGCCTAAGCTATGATTATCAGCAAATGTATTTTTCATTTCATTTTGTCCTCGAAGCTAAGCCTAATGTTGATTTTAATTTTTATGGTCTAGAATAGTTGAATTTGAGAGTAGCATTAATCAAGACGTAAACCTAAAATGCTAAACAAACTCAGAAATATCTAAAATGTATATTCTGTTTATTGTGGCAGCATCGTTTCACCAGGTCAAATTCCTAGTACATGTCAATGTACTTTGCACATAAAGATGGTTCTGATTCTTAAGTATTTTGTGATGGAGCCGGAAGACTCAATCTGACATATTTCACCAATGTGTTGTCTAGCCTGTTCTTAGAACTGTTTGCTCTGTTTTGCCAACTCCAGTGGGACAGAGACCATAGGAGATTGCAGGACAGCACAGATAGATCTGGGACCGGGCTAGGTGTTGTCTGAGTCCAGGGCATGTAATTTAATGTGAGCCATGTGTATGGATGAATCAGGCCTATGAGCACACCTACAAAGCAGCTTAACCAGAGTCTGAGGAGCCAGGCTTTAAGAGCCAGGTGGAGGGGCAGGGCTTTATAGACTGCACTAAAAAAGCTGAATAAACACAGCACACTAAGATCTTTCAATAGCCATTAACTTAGCTAAATAAACGGCCTGAAGTATTCCTCAAATCTTTACCAGTACAGTAGAAAATCTGCTGTGCCTCGATAGGCGTTCCATAGTATGGGTTGGGGGGCTGTCTTAAAGGTGAGAGCCTGAGCCCTTGCCCTCTGCCCTCTGCCCTTCCTCCAGCTTGGCTACATTCAGGTCCATTAGGGATGACGTGCTGTTCTGAGATTCTTTTCTTTTCTTTATTTCAATTATGCTTTGCAACGGGTTATTGGGCTATTCAACTTTTGATGTAGGAAACAACATCACAATGTCAAGGACTGATGTCATTGTAGCAAGCATCCATGACATTACACAAAGAGGATGTCATGGGTTTGGGAATGGAAGGGAAATGTGCGTGGTCCTCTGTAGCTCAGCTGGTAGAGCACGGCGCTTGTAACGCCAGGGTAGTGGGTTCGATCCCCGGGACCACCCATACACAAAAATGTATGCACACATGACTGTAAGTCGCTTTGGATAAAAGTGTCTGCTAAATGGCATATTATTATTATTATTATATTATATATTATTATTATTATTATTATATTATTATTATATTATTAAAATGAAATGTAATAAAGTATTCCATTAAAAATTCAATCGATTTTTTTAAAATGTGTGGATGTATTGATCTGTAAACGAGTATCCCCTTTCTCTGTCCAGTGAGAATGCAACTCTGTGGAGAGAGGTGGCCAGCCTCCGACAGAAACACGCCCAGCAACAGAAAGTCGTCAACAAGGTAAAAGACAGGCACGGTACCTGCCGCTGCTCTGACCACCCAGAATAAGTAGGCTCTTCTATGCTATGGTAACATAGTAGTTCATGTGATAACTCTTTGAATGACGTTCACAATGAAAATAAGTCGTAGACTATTTGTTGTTGTCATCGTCAATGATTTTGAATACGTGTGCTATCATTACGTTGGTGTGTGGCTGTATATGTATCATTTTAAATTGTCTGATATACTGAACAAAAATATTAAACGCAACATGCAACAATTTCAAAGATTTTACTGAGTTTACAGTTCATAAATGGAAACCAGTCAATTGAAATAAATTCATTTGACCCTAATCTATGGATTTCACATGACTGGGCAGGGGTGTACCCACTGAGGAGCCAGGCCCAGCCAATCAGAATTTGTTTTTCCCTACAAAAGGGATTTATTACAGACAGAAATATTGCTCAGCACCCCCCCCTCAGACGATCCCGCAGGTGAAGAAGCTGGATGTGGAGGTCCTGGGTTGGTGTGGTGCAACATGGTCTGCAGTTGTGAGGCTGGTTGGAAGTACTGCCAAATTCTGTTAAATGACGGAGGCAGCTTATGGTAGAGAAATGAACAGTAAATTCTCTGGCAACAGCTCTGGTGGACATTCCTGCAGTCAGCATGCCAATTGCACGCTCCCTCAAAACTTGAGACATCTGTGGCATTGTGTTGTGTGACAAAACTGCACATTGTAAAGTGGCCTTTTATTGTCCCCAGCACAAGGTGCACCTGTGTAATGATCATGCTGTTTAATCAGCTTCTTGATATGCCACACCTGTCAGGTGGATGGATTATCTTGGCAAAGGAGAAATGCTCACTAACAGGGATGGAAATAAATGTGTGAATAAAATAGGAGAGAAATAAGCATTTTTTGCGTATGAAAAATTTCTGAGATGTTTTATTTCAGCTCATGAAACATGGGACAAACACTTTACATGTTGCATTTATATTTTTGTTCAGTGTAAATCAACACATTTCCTTCTAACTTTTGTTATCTGTTACCCTGTCGTCCAGGGTAGGGGAGGGAAACCGAACATTATCAACACAGACCGTACCAACCATTTACCGAGGCCATTTTATTGATATAGAAATTGACGATAAGTAGCCTGTACTAGAGAAATGTGAAGTTTGAAATGTCTGATAATATGGGCTATGCTAACGGTACAATTGATAGTTACAACATGTACTCCTGAGTGGCGCAGTGGTCTAAGGCACTGCATCGCAGTGCTAACTGTGCCACTAGAGATCCTGGTTTGAATCCAGGCCCTGTCGCAGCCGGCCGCGACCGGGAGACTCATGGGCGGCGCACAATTGGCCCAGTGTCGTCCAGGGTAGGGGAGGGAATGGCTGGCAGGGATGTAGCTCAGTTGATAGAGCATGATGTTTGCAATGCCAGGGTTGTGGGTTCGATTCCCACGGGGGGCCAGTATAAAAAAATAAAATATGTAAGTCGCTCTGGATAAGAGCGTCTGCTAAAAATGTAAATGTAAAATGTCTAAATGACTAAAATGTAAATGTAATTATTTTTTGTAATATTTGTTTTATTATTTTACTTTTTACCTCTTTTACTCCCCAATTCCGTGGTATCCAATTGGTAGTTACAGTTTTGTCCCATCGCTGCAACTCCCGTACGGACTCGGGAGAGGCGAAGGTCGAGAACCATGCGTCCTCCGAAACACGACCCTGCCAAGCCGCACTTCTTCTTGACACACTGCTCGCTTAACCCGGAAGCCAGCCACACCAATGTGTCGGAGGAAACACCGTACAACTGGTGACCGTGTCAGCGTGCATGTGCCCAGCCCGCCACAGGAGTCGCTAGAGCGCGATGGGACAAGGACGTCCCGGCCGGCCAAACCCTCCCCTAACCCGGACGACACTGGGCCAATTGTGCATCACCTCATGGGTCTCCCGGTCGCGGCCGGCTGCGACACAGCCCGGGATCGAACCCGGATCTGTAGTGACGCCTCAAGCACTGCAGTGCATTAGACCACTGCGCCACTCGGGAGGCCTGATTTCCTGCTAACCAAGCAGGAAATCAGGGACCATAAACCGAACATTATCAACACAGACCGTACCAACCATTTACCGAGGCCATTTTATTGATATCGAAATTGACGATAAGTAGCCTGTACTAGAGAAATGTGTAGTTTGAAATGTCTGATAATATGGGCTATGCTAACGGTACAATTGATAGTTACAACATTCAGTAGTAGTGGCAGTAGCAACAGCAGCATCAGTGTAATATATATAAAAGTAGGCTAACCAGTGCACATTAATGTTATAAACCTAACATTCTATTTATCGTTATTGTGAAATGTTTTTTTGTCCATATCGCCCTGCCCTACTGTTTACTGTGCCTATGTCTCCCACAGCTCATCCAGTTCCTGTTGACCCTGGTGCAGTCCAACAGAGTCCTGGGGCTGAAGAGAAAGATGCGAGTAATTTAGAATAGCTAACTCGCATTCACTCAAATAGTGGTCCCTTTTTTAAAGGGCGTTTGTCTGACTCTCGTCTCCTCTCTATGGTGCTACAGTCCCCTGATGCTGAACGACAGCAGCTCCGCCCACTCCATGCCCAAGTTCAGCAGGCAGTACTCTCTGGAACACCTTCAGGCTTCGCTGCAGGCCTCTTCCGCAATCTCTGTGAGTTCACCTTCTCCGGGAACCTAGCCTAGCTTGGCACCTCCCGGTGGTAGAAATGGAACAACAGGCCTACTGTAGTTATAGCAGACAGAAAGCGCTCTTTGTGTATTGTGAGTTGGGGGGGATCACAGGCTGATTGAATTCACAGTTATGTATTTAGGCCAAATGATGCTATTGCTTACAGCTGTACTTTACAATTGACAGATTTGTAAGGCATGTTTTGATTTAGGCTAGTGAGATAAGTTACCCAAAAGTGTGACGGCTAACTCATATCTCAGACATGAGAATTTAGCTACTGTAAGTAACTTTTTAAGGCTCTTAACTAGCCAGAGGTAATGCATTCAAAGAGGTGTGGTCGCTGGAGCGCCACTAAGAAAGGTGTAATGTTATTAAGCCTGTGTTACGTAACTGATCTTGTTAGGATGTCAGGGCAGCTTTAGTATACTTGTGAATGTGTGTCCTCCTCCCAGCCCTCGGGCGCACCATTCACCAGTACAGGTCTCTTCACGGCGGAGTCTTCACTTAACGGCCCCATCATCTCAGATGTCACTGACCTGGCTCAGGCCAGCCCTGTGGAGGTCACCAATGAGTGGATAGAGGAAAGGTTAGTGAGCTTGCCTCATTTCAACAACCAACTGTTCTTTTTTATATATTTTTTTCAAAAATCTACTTTTATTTTCTGACCACATGACCTGACCAGGAAAACATCAAGAAACTAGGGCCTATAGTTTTATCCTGATCAAATCAGGTGGTCAGAATTCAGGAACGACTCCTGACCCTATACCAACTATGCACGAATAAACAAAATGTCCATAACCCATTTCTCTTCCTGTCTTCAGCACGAGCCCATTGGTCCACATAAAGGAGGAGCCATTCAGTCACGTGTTGGAGGAGGTGTGTCCGGCCGAGGCTGTGATCGGGGGGGCAGGGGTACAGGTAGACACGCCCCTGTCCCCCATCACCTTCATCAACTCCATCCTGCAGGAGAGCAACGAGCCTAACGCCTCCCCCGCCCCCACGACCCCTACGGAGCAGAAGTGTCTCAGCCTCGCCTGTCTAGACAAGTGAGTGATCCCCAGATGACGTCACCGTGACCAGGTCCCACTGACAGTCTGTCCCTCAGCCCCTCCCACGTAGCACCTTGCAACAGAGATGACCACAATAAGCTTAGTCCTCCGCCTCTACCCTAAAAAGTTATATTTTTTTGTTCACTTAAGACACCTTGTAAATCTAATTTGCTGCAACACACTGCGGTGTCCATCAATTACGATCCACTTGCATCACACTAGCCTTTCATTGCCTTTATAATCAGTCGGCCCATGCCAGTCGACGTCTGCAGCCAGCCTAATGCCCTATGCTTCTCCCCGCGCGCCACCATCTCTGTGTGTATCACGTCACATTGCATCAGGAGGATGTGCTAGCGACGCTAAGCAGCTCCTCCACTGATAAACAGATTAGGCAGCTGTTAGCGCTTTATGCTAGTTTAATAAGCACCATCATTCACCAAGCTCTACATAAACAAACTCACTGGCTAGTCCCGAGTATTGCTAAGTATACACTTCAGAGACTTAGCTAATTCTTTCAAACCAAACATGGACTCCTGCATTTTAGACATAGTTCTGTTGATTTGTTGCATTTCATCTTGGCGTTTGAGTTTTAGGATCCTGCCTGTTGCTTCTAACGGTACGTAATAAAGCTGCTCAATGTTTAATCAAACTAATGCATCTTAATCTGCTCATCTATCTTCATGTAGATGTATGGGTTGATGATACATTAGAGAGATTAGTTTTCAGCTCATACCCAAGCAACCTCTAATAATTTTTTACCTATTTTTTGGGGGTGGGTGGGGGGGGGGGGGGGTGTTGTCTCAGTCAATGACACAGTTTCTGTGTCACTGTTGAGATGAGAAAGTGTTTGTTGTTTTATCGAAATCTTACTCTGATACAATAAAAAATTGTTAGAAAATGTAGACAGGATTCCTTTTTTAAGCCAATCAACGTCTCTCTTCCTGTGATCCCAATGCTTACTATTCTCCTTTTCAGCCAATGGGAAGCAGAGTAGCCCATGTGATCCCCATCCCTGGGCTGTAGTCAACCTATGGTGTAGTAGTAGTGCTCTGCCCTCTCTCCAGCTGTTCTTCTTTTATCTTTTCAGTTCTACACAGACGTCAGAGGTGTCTCGCCTCTTCCCCAGACCCTCCTCGTCTCTACACCTCAGACCTATCCCAGGGTTAGCATTTCAGTTGGCCCACAAACCCTGTTGTGTTGTCCTCCCCCAGAACGCTTGATTGACGCTGCTGTACCTGTCATTGCCGCCAGCACCAAGCCCAGAACTAACGTTCAAGCCCGTGTGGTCTGTAATAAAATAAATTAACAAAGTGATTTGTGTATCTATTGAGCAAATATGTTGTATAATGGTATCATTTCTAATCATTTACCATATCCCTGGATATAACAACATTTTCTCTGGGTCTACAAACGGATGGTGCTTCTCAGTATTTGGCACCAACTGAGAGCGTCATTATTGATTATCGATAAGGTTTTCAACACCAGTGTTTTGAACACGCATGGGCTTGAAAAAACAGCTGATTCAGCACGGTTTGTCCAAATGTTAATCTAACTGCATACTGCTCAACCCCATAGGCTATCCTCCATTTAGGTCAAAGGGCAATCATTCTGTGAGTGGGTTTTAATGTGGCAGGCCCAGTGAACAGTACGCTATAGGCAGACTATTCCACTTTCTGGGCATCAGGCTCACAGCCCACTCAGCGCTGTTCCAATGGCGTCTGCGGCTCAAGTGAAACAAGTTGTTGGTTGATTTTACTACCGTTAGTTTTAAACAGCTAATTTGCTTTAATGTGTGTGTTTAGTCAGGGAGATCTTCAAAGATGAATATGAACCATGTTTTGTTTCTTTGCGCTTTGGTGTAGGAGTGAGCTGAGTGACCATTTGGACAGCATCGACAACGGCCTGGAAAACCTCCAGACTATCCTGAACGCGCAGTCCATCAATTTCGAGTCCTCACCCGTCTTTGAAGTAAGTTGTGCCTTTTTCTTAGCCTGATCCCAGTTCTGTTTGTGGGACCAGATCAACATCGGGCTACTTTTTTTCTGTCCCGACAACAGTATGCCGAGGCATTTCCTGTGTGGGACACTGACCGGTCAGATTTGAGTTTGCAGTGAGGTCTGTCTCTCTGCTGCTGGGAATTGATAGGTGATGGTGTGTTTTGAAGGGACTGTGGCTTTGCGAAGGATGATGGTTGGTGGTCAACCTGGTGTGAGTGGTGACAATGACTAGATTCAACTGAAGTTATGATTCATGTGGATATTGTCTAATTCCTCCTGTGTGTGTCTCTTGTTTTTGTTAATCTGGCTCAGCTGAAACCCCAGGGGATAATAACGTTTTCTACCACTACTTGTCTTTCAGTTCTTCAGTTCTTCCCTGCCTGGCTCTGAATTCGACCTGGAGAGCCTTGACAGTGTAAGTTAGACAGAATCAAAATCACCTTTATTTGCCAAATACATGTGCATGTACAGGAATTTGACTCAGTGAAATGGTGCTGCTACAAACAGAATATACAGACAGAAAATAAACAGAATATACAGACAGAAAATAAACAGAATATACAGACAGAAAATAAACAGAATATACAGACAGAAAATAAACAGAATATACAGACGAGAGATATAGACATAGAATTTACACAATCCACATTATGTACACAATGAACACCAAGCTAAAATCTACAGACTACACTATAAGCTACATTATGGAGTTGCGCAAACAGATGTATACACTGAGTGTACAAAACATTATGAACACCTGCTCTTTCCATGACATAGACTGACCAGGTGAAAGCTATGGTCCGTTATTGATGTCACGTGTTAAATCCATTTCAATCAGTGTAGATGAATGGGAGGAGACAAGTTAAAGAAGGATTTGTAAGCCTTGAGACAATTGAGACATGGATTGTGTATGTGTGCCATTCAGAGGGTGAATGGGCAAGACAAAATATTTAAGTGCCTTTGAACAGGGTATGGTAGTAGGTGCCAGGCGCACCGGTCTGTGTCAAGAATTGCAAAGCTGCTGGGTTTTTCACGCTTAACAGTTTCCTGTGTGTATCAAGAATGGTCCACCACCCAAAAGACATCCAGCTAACTTGACACAACTGTGGGAAGCATTGGCGTCAACATGGGCCAGCATCCCTGTGGAATGCTTTAGACACCTTGTAGAGTCCATACCCCGACGAATTAAGGCTGTTCTGAGTGCAAAATGAGGGGTGTTCTTAATGTTTTGTACACTCAGTGTAAATAAAGCACTTTACAAGTTTATGTGCAATAAGGTAAATATATAAGGTTCAGTCCATGCCAAGGGCTGGAGCGGGATAGCTTGGTGTTCATTGTGTACGTACAATCTGGATGGTGTACATTTTGAGTGCAAAGAGCAATGTGCAGTTCTATGAAAGTGCGGGGTGCATAGTCTGTAGATGAATGGTAAACCATGCATACTGTAGTCCATGGATGAGAAGATCACTGTGGACCGGTTGGTGAGGGCCACGGTACGGGCGAAGACGCTGGTCAGGTGGCGTGAGGTTTTGGTTGTGATTGACCTGAACCGTTTGCCAGAGGGGAGTCTTTGGAAGGGGTATGGATATAGACCCACTGCCGTAGCAGGGCAAGGGGAATGTCTTACACATCCTTTTATTTTGTTCATGAAATAAGTGAAAGTGTCTCACACTGTGGCCCCGCTGTTTTTCTAGATCCAGGACTTGCTTTCATCAGATCCACCTAAAGGGGCTGAGAGGAGTGATGACTACACCGGTAAGAACTCCTAATATACTCTATATCATGCTGACTATGCATTTTTGCATTTCACTTTTATCTATTGTTTAATGGGAGTGACCGTGTGCTACTGCTACTACAATACTGCTACTACAATACTACTACTACTACTACTACTACTACAATACTACTACTACAATACTGCTACTACTACAATACTGCTACTACTACAACAATACTGCTAATACTACAATACTGCTAATACAATACTGCTACTACTACAATACTACTACTACAATACTACTGCTACTACTACAATACTACTGCTACTACTACTACAATACTGCTACTACTACTACAATACTGCTGCTACTACTACTACTACTACTACTACTAAAATACTGCTGCTACTACTACAATACTGATACTACTACTACTACTACAATACTGATACTACAACAATACTACTACTACTACAATACTGCTGCTACTACTACTACTACTACTACTAAAATACTTCTGCTACTACTACAATACTGATACTACTACTACTCCCTACAATATTGATACTACAACAATACTACTACTACTACTACAATACTGCTGCTACTACTACAATACTGCTTCTACTGCTACAATACTGCTGCTACTGCTGCTACTACATAATTGCTACTACTGCTACTACTACTATTGCTGCTGATGCTGCTACTGCTACTAAGGCTGCTGCTGATACTACTACTGCTACTACTTCTAATACTACTACTAATACTGCTGCTACTACTACTACTGCCGCTGCTACTACTTCTAATACTACTACTAATACTACTACTACTACTGCCGCACTCTACTGCCGCTGCTACTACTACCACCATGGAGTCAAATTCAACACCATTTGGGGTATTATATGGTCCCACCCCCATTTAGTCAAAGCTACTCTGGTTTCACACTTGTTTTTAATTAACTCCCATGTCATTTTAGACTTTTCTGTGTTGTTTTGAACAATCAACTCAATCGGAGTACATTTTCACTTTAGTAGGTTACTACCTTTTAACACTGTAGGGAGTAAAGCCTAATTTGCATATTTCCCACTGTGCTATTCGAATAAATGAATGAATGATAAGGTTACCACCAATTACCGTGACATCTTATTCCTTATGGAATCCAGCCAGAAGGACATCCAACAATCTTAACTTTACATCAACCACAACCGGCTGTCAAAGTGATTGCCAGACTGGAAGGTGTAATTTTAAAGGACTACCTCGAACATGTATACTAACGGCTGCAATAAATCCAACCACTTACAGATTGGGTTAGTTTAGAAAAATGTATGTTATCTTTGGATACCATAAGATCAATAATGATCAATGTACAAAAACAAAGCTATTGAAACAAACAAACAAACAAAAAAAAAAAAAAAATCGACCTGCAACAGAACATGCTGGGAAATAGCATTTCCTGGTTGCGAAAAATTCTAAACTGTTCGCCTAATTTAAGTTTGACAGAACAAGCAGTGCAGAGAATCATTGTACCATTTAAACCACTGTGAAATATATATTTTCGATAACGAAAAATATTGTATTATCAGCTGTTTGAAGCTGTGAAAAAACGAAACTTAAGAATGGGAAGCAGGCAAGTAGAGCACATGGAATGGAGCTACCGCTTCTCCAACCTGCTTTCAATGAGAATGTATTCGGAAAGTATTCAGACCCCTTGACTGTTTCAACATTTTGTTACGTTACAGCCTTATTCTAAAATGGATTGAATTGTTTTTTCCCCCTCATCAATCTACACACAATACCCCATAATGACAGAGCAAAAACTTTATTTTTTACATTTATGCAAAAATAAAATCAAGAAATAAACTGAAATCTCATATTTAAGTAAGTATTCAGACCCTTTACTCAGTACTTTGAAGCACCTTTGGCAGTAATTACAGCCTTGGGTCTTCTTGGGTATGACGCTACAAGCTTGGCACACCTGTATTCGGGGAGTTTCTCCCATTCTTCTCTGCAGATCTTCTCAAGCTCTGTCAGGTTGGATGGGGAGCGTCGCTGCACAGCTATTTTCAGGTCTCTCCAGAGATGTTCGATCGGGTTCAAGTCCGGGCTCTGGCTAGGCCACTCAAGGACATTCAGAGACTTGTCCCGAATCCACTCCTGCGTTGTCTTGGCTGTGTGATTAGGGTCGTTGTCCTGTTGGAAGGTGAACCTTTGCTCCAGTCTGAGGTCCTGAGCGCTCTGGAGCAGGTTTTCATCAAGGAGCTCTCTGTACTTTGCTCCGTTCATCTTTGCCTCGATCCTGACTAGTCTCCCAGTCCCTGTCGCTGAAAAACATCCCCACAGCATGATGCTGCCACCACCATGCTTCACAGTAGGGATGGTGCCAGGTACCTCCAGACGTGACGCTTGGCATTCAGGCCAAAGAGTTCAATCTTGGTTTCATCAGACCAGATAATCTTTTTTCTCATGGTCTGAGTCCTTTAGGTGCCTTTTGCCAAACTCCAAGTGGGCTGTCATGTGCCTTTTACTGAGGAGTGGCTTCCGTCTGGCCACTCTACCATAAAGGCCTGATTGGTGGAGTGCTGCAGAGATGGTTGTCCTTCTGGAAGGTTCTCCCATCTCCACAGAGAAACTCTGGAGCTCTGTCAGAGTGACCATCGGGTTCTTGGTCACCTCCCTGACCAAGGCCCTTCTCCCCCGATTGCTCAGTTTGGCCGGGTGGCCAGCTGTAGGAAGAGTCTTGGTGGTTCCAAACTTCTTCCATTTAAGAATGATGGAGGCCACTGTGTTCTTGGGGCCCTTCAATGCTGCAGAAATGTTTTGGTACCCTTCCCCAGATCTGTGCCTCGACACAATCCTGTCTGGGAGCTGTACGGACAGTTCCTTCGACATCATGGCTTGGTTTTTGCTCTGACATACACTGTCAACTGTGGGACCTTTTTATATAGACAGGTGTGCCTTTCCAAATAATTTCCAATCAATTGAATTTACCACAGGTGGACTCCAATTAAGTTGTAGAAACATCTGAAGGATGATCAATGGAAACAGCATGCACCTGAGCTCAGTTTCGCGTCTCATAGCGAAGGGTCTGAATACTTATGTAAATAAGGTATTTGTTTTTTATTTTTAATAAATTAGTAAAAATGGCTAAAAACCTGTTTTCGCTTTGTCATTATGGGGTATTGTGTGTAGATTGATGAGGCAAAACATAATTTAATCAATTTTAGAATAAGGCTGTAACGTAACAAAATGCGGAAAACTTCAAGGGGTCTGAATACTTTCCGAATGCACTGTATAACTCACATTTCTATGTGAATTTGGTCAGGTCACCCGAAAAGCACCATACTACTCACACTACATACAGTGATGGAAAAAAGTATTTGATCCCCTGCTGATTTTGTACGTTTGCCCACTGACAAAGACATGATCAGTCTATAATTTTAATTGTAGGTTTATTTGAACAGTGAGAGACAGAATAACAACAAAAAAATCCAGAAAAACGCATGTCAAAAATGTTAAATTGATTTGCATTTTAATGAGGGAAATAAGTATTTGACCCCTCTGCAAAACATGATTTAGTACTTGGTGGCAAAACCCTTGTTGGCAATCAGAGGTCAGACGTTTCTTGTAGTTGGCCACCAGGTTTGCACACATCTCAGGAGGGATTTTGTCCCACCCCTCTTTGTAGATCTTCTCCAAGTCATTAAGGTTTTGAGGCTGACGTTTGGCAACTCGAACCTTCAGCTCCCTCCACAGATTTATGGGATTAAGGTCTGTAGACTGGCTAGGCCACTCCAGGACCTTAATGTGCTTCTTCTTGAGCCACTCCTTTGTTGCCTTGGCCGTGTGTTTTGGGTCATTGTCATGCTGGAATACCCATACACGACCCATTTTCAATGCCCTGGCTGAGGGAAGGAGGTTCTCACCCAAGATTTGACGGTACATGGCCCCGTCCATCGTCCCTTTGATGCGGTGAAGTTGTCCTGTCCCCTTAGCAGAAAAACACCCCCAAAGCATAATGTTTCCATCTCCATGTTTGACGGTGGGGATGGTGTTCTTGGGGTCATAGGCAGCATTCCTCCTCCTCCAAACACAGCGAGTTGAGTTGATGCCAAAGAGGTCGATTTTGGTCTGACCACAACACTTTCACCCAGTTCTCCTCTGAATCATTCAGATGTTCATTGGCAAACTTCAGACGGGCCTGTATATGTGCTTTCTTGAGCAGGGGGACCTTGCGGGCGCTGCAGGATTTCAGTCCTTCACGGCGTAGTGTGTTACCAATTGTTTTCTTGGTGACTATGGTCCCAGCTGCCTTGAGATCATTGACAAGATCCTCCCGTGTAGTTCTGGGCTGATTCCTCACTGTTCTCATGATCATTGCAACACGAGGTGAGATCTTGCATGGAGCCCCAGGCCGAGGGAGATTTACGGTTTCTTCCATTTGCGAATAATCGCACCCACTCGCACCAAGCTGCTTGGCGATGGTCTTGTAGCCCATTCCAGCCTTGAGTAGGTCTACAATCTTGTCCCTGACATCCTTGGAGAGCTCTTTGGTCTTGGCCATGGTGGAGAGTTTGGAATCTGATTGATTGATTGCTTCTGTGGACAGGTGTCTTTTATACAGGTAACAAGCTGAGATTAGGAGCACTCCCTTTAAGAGTGTGCTCCTAATCTCAGCTCGTTACCTGTATAAAAGATACCTGGGAGCCAGAAATCTTTCTGATTGAGAGGGGGTCAAATACTTATTTCCCTCATTAAAATGCAAATCAATTTATAACATTTTTGACATGCGTTTTTCTGGATTTTGTTGTTGTTATTCTGTCTGTCACTGTTAGAAATAAACCTACTATTAAAATTATAGACTGATCATTTCTTTTTCAGTGGGCAAACGTACAAAATCAGCAGGGGATCAAATATTTTTTTCCCCTCACTGTACAAGGTTGAATCAACTGAAAATATCTGACTTTAAAAAAACGTTAACACTGTGAATTTAACACTTCTTGCCGTGTTCTCCAAAGTGTAAAGGGGCTGTGGATACTCACTCCATAGATGTCTCTCTCTGTCTCTGGTTACTCTTAATGAAGTTAAACGTACTCGATCTCAAAGACCTCCAGTTATCAACACTAACTACAGGAAGTGTATCACTCTGAGGGGTTTAGATAACTACAGTAGTCAATAAAACTTTTTTTTTCTACACTTTGCTTCCAACTTTCCTTGATTTTTATAATGCAATGCTCAGCCATTATATGTAAATTATGCTTCTTTCCCTATGCAAGAAAGGATCATAATCTCATGTGTTTTCATATTTCAGAGATCATAATCTCATGTGGCTTTCATATATTGATTAAAGCAGGGAAGCAGCTGGTCCAGTACACCTCCCAGCCAATGCTACTGACTGACCCATTGACCAGTGAGAACGGCGGGGCGGACCTCCCCACTCTGCTGGAGTTGGAGGGGGACTCGTATTTCACCCAGGACCAGGACCCTGAAGAGGACCCTACCATCTCGCTCCTCACCCCCGACTACCACACAGCAGCACCAGACGAGCCCAAACTATCCTAAAGCAATTTTTTTATAAAGGGATGAACTACAGGGTTTTATTTTTTATTTTGTTATGTTCATGTGCAGATGATGAAAAATCTACCTGGTTGAAATTGAATGATGATATTTGTACTATTCTCTGAGCTATTGACCTTCATTCATTTCAAGGCTTAAACTTCCTAGTGAAAGAATTTTGCTTTAGATGAATCAAACCAAAAGTTCGACTTAAGTTACTGGCATGGTTTGTTCAGCTCTTGGAAATTACTTCCTGGGTTGAATTATCAGTGATCTTATTGGCGGACATAAATAAAACTTCCTAAAAGCTCAATCATAATCATTACTAGGTCAAGTTTTAAGCATTGTTCACCAAGCTCCTTTAACTATTAAAAGTGGAAGTATGCAGAATAATTGTTGTGATACCAAGGAGATAGATCCAGTACATTACTGTTTCTGGGGGACAAAAACTCTGTTTTAATCTGTTTTTCTCTTATTAATTTTTTTTGGGGGGGGATTTTCTTTTACCTATTGATATAAAGATAGTACCTTCATCATAATGAAGTGTTTAAATCTTTGTACTGCACCAATATCTTGTTTAATTCACGTTAGATGTGGAATGTGTTTTCTTTGACATGTTTTCATTGCATAGTTCATAATGGAATGCTGTTGGTATTTCAGCACCTTATAGTTATTGAAGTTTTAAACCTAGAATCCTTCAGTTGCTAATCTAAGCATTCTTGAAGAAATTACTTAGAAATGCCTCATGAGCTTAGTTCAACTGTCGTTCCCCATCAGAACCCAAAATATTGTGATACTCCACTGAACAAAAATATAAACGCAACAATTTCAAAGATTTTACTGAGTTACAGTTCATATAAGGCCAATCAGCCAATTGAAATAAATTAGGCCCTAGTCTATGGATTTCACATGACATGACTGGGCTGGGGTGAAGCCATGGGTGGGCCTGGGAAGGATTAGGCCCACCCACTGGCAAGCCAGGCCCAGCCAATCCAAAAAGGGAGTATTTTCTTCTTGAGGACTAGATGACCAACTGTCAATAACATATTACACGTCAGGCAGTGCAGTGTTTCCCAACAGCACACATTTTTGTTGTAGCCCTGGAGAAGCACACCTGATTCAACCTAATCATCAATCCCTAAATTAGTTTCTCTAGAGCAAAAAGGTGTGCTGTTGGGGGGACTGGAGTTGGGAAACATTGTTCTAGTGGATAACCCATCTGCTTTTGTTCACAGCAAGTATTCATGTCTTGAAATCAAATCCACCGATTTAAGACTGGCCCTTTGTGCAACAGTCTGCTTTTAAGACGCTTTCTGTATATGTCGAGATTGACATAATATCCCTGGGTTAATTATTCTTTGCGAGCCAGCACATCCCATTATGTGAATTGCTTTTTGGAAAGGAGATTATTTTAATTTAAAGCAGTATGACATGTATATCCTCCCTCAATGTCTACTCAGTCATATGCTCCTCATTTTTCATCTGAAAGCCTGTTTCCCTCGAGCGTTCTTATTTTATAGTCAAATCCTTTTCTAGGAAAACAAATGTATCATTGACTCTTAGTTGTGTGAGGAACTTTGTGAAATGTTACGCATACTGCCACCCAGAGGTTGTTTTGAGTTTGTTCCAAATGTTGTTTTATTAACGGCCATTTATTGAGACCGACAATGTGGAAATATTGGAATGTATTGACGTGCGGAATTCTACGTTTAGCACTTTAACCAATTTTACCGTAGCACAATGTCACAGCCTGAGAAACCCAAATTACGCATGAGAACAATATTTTGTGTATGGTATGTTTCAAATAAACATGGATGTTTTGAAATAAATGAATTGTACGTTATGCATAATACATCTGCTGCATTTAAGGTGATATTTTAGTTGCAAATGATGGCTAAGGAATCAGTTGAACAGGTAATTGGAGAACATACAAACATTGCTCCCCCTTCAGAACATGAAAAATATGGCGACAAAGGAGTTTAAAAGTAACATCTATTTTGAACGTTAATGTAGAGATTACTTTCAAATTATGTACAATTAGCAATGTACCATCTCTGACAGTGGAGATGAATACTTCTCACATTTTCTATACTCTGAAACACAGTACTTAAGGAAATTCCAAAATAACAAAGCTTCATAAAGATTCAGTATATTTTGAGCTTTTGTACAACAATTTTCACGGGGATTAAACACTTTTTTATGATCCGTATTCATTTGAATCAGAGGGTTTCCTTTAGTATCCTCTTGTGTTTTTCTCGTACAGTGGGGAGAACAAGTATTTGATACACTGACGATTTTGCAGGTTTTCCTACTTACAAAGCATGTAGAGGTCTGTAATTTTTTATCATAGGTACACTTCAACTGTGAGAGACGGAATCTAAAACAATGTATTGCGAGATCTTGGCCAACAACCTCCTTCCCTCAGTAAGAGCATTGAAGATGGGTCGTGGCTGGGTCGTCCAGCATGACAACGACCTGAAACACACAGCCAGGGCAACTAAGGAGTCGCTCCGTAAGAAGCACCTCAAGGTCCTGGAGTGGCCTAGCCAGTCTCCAGACCTTAACCCAATAGAAAATCTTTGGAGGGAGCTGAAAGTCCGTATTGCCCAGTGACAGCCCCGAAACCTGAAGGATCTGGAGAAGGTCTGTATGGAGGAGCGGGCCAAAATCCCTGCTGCAGTGTGTGCAAACCTGGTCAAGACCTACAGGAAACGTATGATCTCTGTAATTGCAAACAAAAGTTTCTGTACCAAATAATAAGTTCTGCTTTTCTGATGTATCAAATACTTATGTCATGCAATAAAATGCAAATTAATTACTTAAAAATCATACAATGTGATTTTCTGGATTTTTGTTTTAGATTCCGTCTCTCACAGTTGAAGTGTACCTATGATAAAAAATTACAGACCTCTACATGCTTTGTAAGTAGGAAAACCTGCAAAATCGGCAGTGTATCAAATACTTGTTCTCCCCACTGTATATATGCAACGAATAGAACATAACGAACAGAAATAAGTTGACTTACAGTGTCATCTTTAAGTTTAAATAGACAAAGTTAAAACAGACAAACAAAAACAACTACTAGATTTGCTAGTGGGTTGGATCACTATTTCTCTGCCAATGTCGACCGGTCCATACACTGACATCTGTAGCGTAGAAACTTACATTTACATTTTAGTCATTTAGCAGACGCTCTTATCCAGAGCGACTTACAGTTAGTGAGTACATACATTATTTTTTTTATACTGGCCCCCCGTGGGAATCGAACCCACAACCCTGGCGTTGCAAACGCCATGCTCTACCAACTGAGCTACATCCCTGCCGGCCATTCCCTCCCTTACCCTGGACGACGCTGGGCCAATTGTGCGCCGCCCCATGGGTCTCCCGGTCACGGCCAGCTACGACAGAGCCTGGATTCAAACCAGGATCTCTAGTGGCACAGCTAGCACTGCGATGCAGTGCCTTAGACCACTGTGCCACTTGGCATGAGGCTTCATATGGAAGTCAGCAGGTATCCTCCAGTTCCACATTTTCTGCACCTTCAGAATTGAAGATACATTTTAGTCTCTGACTGACACACATCATATCTGTAATTCAACTACCTTCAAGAGCTGATTAAAGGGATAGTTCATCCAAATAACAAAATCTCATACTGGTTTCATCACCCTGTAAGCAGTCTATGGACAAGACAGCAATAAACAAGTTTGGCAAACTATCCCTTAAATACTAGTTGGTAGAGCATGTCGCTTGCAACGCCAGGGTTGTGGGTTTATGCAACTCCCCTCCATGTCTCCGACCACTACTTTGTATCCTTTTCTCTCTCGCTCTCCTCCAACACTACTCACTCTGCCCCTACACAGATGGTAATGCGCCGTCGCAACCTTCGCTCTCTCTCTCCCGCTACTCTCTCCTCTTCCATCCTATCATCTCTTCCCTCTGCTCAATCCTTCTCCCTCTAATCTCCTGATTCTGCCTCCTCAACCCTCCTCTCCTCCCTTTCTGCATCCTTTGACTCTCTATGTCCCCTATCCTCCCGGCCGGCTCGGTCCTCCCCTCCTGCTCCGTGGCTTGATGACTCATTGCGAGCTCACAAAACAGAGCTCCGGGCAGCTGAGCGGAAATTGAAGAAAACTAGACTCCCTGCGGACCTGGCATCTTTTCACTACCTCCTCTCTACATTTTCTTCATCTGTTTCTGCTGCTAAGGCCACTTTCTACCACGCTAAATTCCAAGCATCTGCCTCTAACCCTAGGAAGCTCTTTGCCACATTCTCCTCCCTGCTGAATCCCCCCCCCCCCCCCCCCCCCCCCTCCTCCCTCTCTGTGGATGACTTCGTCAACCACTTTGAAAAGAAGGTTGACGACATCCGATCCTCGTTTGTTAAGTCAAATGACACTGCTGGTCCTGCTCACACTGCCCTACCCTATGCTTTGACTTATTTCTCCCCTCTCTCTCCAGATAAAATCTTGCGACTTGTGACTGCAGGCCGCCCAACAACCTGCCCGCTTGAACCTATCCCCTCCTCTCTTCTCCAGACCATCTCCGGTGACCTTCTCCCCTACCTCACCTCGCTGATCAACTCATCCTTGACCGCTGGCTATGTCCCTTCCGTCTTCAAGAGAGCGAGAGTTGCACCCCTTCTCAAAAAACCAACACTCGATCCCTCTGATGTCAACAACTACAGACCAGTATCCCTTCTTTCTTTTCTCTCCAAAACTATTGAGCGTGCCGTCTTTAGCCAACTCTCTTGCTATCTCTCTCAGAATGACCTTCTTGATCCAAACCAGTCAGGTTTCAAGACTGGTCATTCAACTGAGACTGCTCTTCTCTGTGTCACGGAGGCTCTCCGCACTGCTAAAGCTAACTCTCTCTCCTCTGCTCTTGTCCTTCTAGACCTGTCTGCTGCCTTTGATACTGTGAACCATCAGATCCTCCTCTCCACCCTCTCCAAGCTGGGCATCTCCGGCGCGGCTCACTCTTGGATTGCGTCCTACCTGACCGGTCGC